TTTGGTACTAGAAGTAGTTTATCTATAATTTATCTACGCAGTATACGAGGATCAATCATATTCACCACCAACTACTACGACCTCAATTACAACTACTACAACTAACTCAAATAATAATAATGTTACAAATAATATTATTGGTAATTTAAATAAAAATATAAATAATAATATTAATAATATTAAGAATAATAATATAAATAACAATAATAATAATAATAATATTAATAATAATATTAATAATAATAATAATAATAATAAAAATATTAATAATACCAATAATAATAATAATAATAGTAATTATAATAATATTAATAATAATAATATTAATAATATAAATAGCAATAATAATAACAATAATAATAATAATAATAATAATAATAATAATAATAATAATAATAATAATAATAATAGTAGTAGTAATAATAAGGATAATAATAATAATAGTTTTCCCTTCGTTAAACCAATTAATTCATTTCAACTAAATGATCAATCTATAAATGGGGTTAATAATCATCTCCACCATAATAATGGTAATCAAAATCATCCACTGCAACAAAACGTCCATTTACATACCAATAATATACATCATAAATACAGCCTATCTCATCTTCAAAATCAACACCAACCTCAAAATCATCACCACCAACCATTATTTCCACAAAATCATCACCAACATCAATTTTTATCCGTCATAAACCAAGTTGTCAATGCAGATACATTTCCAAATACACCACACTCTAATAATAATACCAATTTTAATGATGAAAGGACCCACAATAGTAATTTAAATAATAGTTTAAAACCTAACTTTTTTCAATAAAAATAATTATTATTCTTTTTAAAAAAATAATTATTGTGTGAAAAAAAAAAAAAAATTTTTTTATAGTTTTAAAAAAAAAAAAATCAAGGGGTTCTGTAAGGAATTTATCTGGACGTTTTGTTAAAAAAATAAAATTTTTTTTTTTTAAAATTGATTCAAAAAATTTTTTTTTTTTTTTTTTTTTTAATTAAAAAATAATTTAATTAAATTATATATAATTTATTTCTTTTACAGATATAATTGTTTCGCATTTGATAACAAGTGAAAAGACCATCTTCGCGTGGGTACCCTTTTCATTTGACTAGATCGGAGGCTCGCCTACTAGCTAGGATAAGGATCTTTCGGCATCATTCATTATATTTCTAGCACTTTCTGATGCGTTTCAATTATGTCAAAAAGAAAACAAATTGATTTGGACATTGAGGACTTTTTAAAAGACCATCATTACATATTTAATCAATCCACGTATTATTTATCGTATTTCAACTGCATCAGTATTGGTAGATATGAAGCAATCATTGGAACAATTTGGTAAATCTATTGAATACTTTTGTAATCTTTATAGCATTCCACAACCAACCAAGCTTCATCTCAAAACCAACAAAGAAACCATTACATACTTGTTCGACCTCTCCAATGAGATTGGATGCCCATTGACCAGCATTGCACACCTCAGCACCAATCCAGTTGAATTGTTTTTTAGTTTAGTTCGTTCCAAAGTTCATTACCCTTCTTACTATGAATTTTGCATTTATGAAAAATCGGCATACAAAGAGTTGATTAAATCAAAGATTGTCCAGAACAACCGTTATGAAGCTTCAATAAAAAAAGTAAATAAATGTTATGGTAGTCTTCAAACAAAGCTTGATGGAAATGTAATAACTGAAAGTGTTGAATTAGTATCCAAATACAGAGAAGAAGAGGTTAGAATTTTCGAAAGAATTATTAAAATCATTGAACCAGATGAATATGAAGAATCTGAAGATTCATCATTTCCCTTTACTGATTCAATGAGTGCAGATGAAAGAAGAAGAGTAATAACCTTAACATTTTATTTGAAAAGAATACTTTCCATTAGAGAGCTTTCATGCTTTGGTGAACAAACCAGATTCAAAGCCAGTGGCAGAGCTGCACTTCAGGTGTGTATTTTTGATGGTTGCCAGGCAATGTTTGCAAACAGCGCATCTTATGAATCTCACGTAACCCAACCACATCGAATTCTATCAAAAGAAGATGTTCAAAAGTATAAACAAGTTTTGGAAGATCAAGAAAAATTCAAAAAACAATTTAATGATGTATTTGGAAAATTTGAAACACAACCTGATCAATCGAAATGCAATATTTTCATTTTAGATTCTGAAACAACTGGTCTTACTTCCAATGCAGAAATTATTGAACTTTCGTGTGCTTGTTTAAATGGGGAAGCATTTTATCGTAAATCAAATCCAACCATCCCCATTACTCCAGAGTCTACCAAAATCAACAATCTCACAAGCAAAGATTTAGCAGGTCACCAATATTGGGAAAAGGTTGAAGAGAATTTTTTAATTTTATTGTCCAACAATCGTCAGATGATGATGCTCCAATTTATATAATCGCTCACAATGAAAAGTATGACAAAGGTAGAATTGCCTTTCATTTAGCAAAATCAACTAAAGCTTTAGAATCATCATTCCATAAAACCATTAGCAGAATTAAATTTTTCGATTCAATTAACATCTTCAAATCAATTAAATTAGTGTTACCAGTGGTTTCAGTGTCAATTTTTTTTTAATTTTTTTAACTCCAGACACCCCCTTGATTAAAATTTAAACCTTTTTAGAAAAGTTATTAGCTCAGAAATAAAGTCAATTTGCCTATGGGTTATAGTAATAATAATAAAATAATAATTTAAATATTTTTTTTATTTATTTTTTTATAACTATTTCTTTTTATTTATTATTATTTGTTTTTATTTATTTATTTGTTTTTATTATTTATTTGAATAGAGTTCATTTTATTGCCTCTTTAAAATGGTTGGGTTTTAAGTGTTAAAAATAGAACCATTTAAAAAAAGAACCATATTATTATTTTTTTTTTTTTTTCAAATAAAATTTTTAATGATAAAGATGGCAAAGTTCCCTAAAATAATCCTCAAATTTAGATAGGGGGGGTGTTTTTTAAAAAAAAAAAAAAAAAGGAAAAAAAAAAAAAGAAAAAAAAAAAAACCCATTTTTTGGGGTTGATTTAACAAAACTTAATTTTTATTAAAACACTCACTATACCTAAATTTAAAATAGTTTTTCTTATTTTTTTAATATAAAGTTTTTTTTTTTTTTTTAATATTTATTAATTTTAATTTTTTTTATATTTGGGGGAAGTAAAATTATTTTTTTTTTGTTAATAAAGACCTGCCAAAAAACATCTAAGCTAAAACAGAAATAAAATTAAGTTTCTTTTTTTTTTTTTATATTAATTAATATTTTATAGTAAATATAAAGTTTTTAAAAAATTTTATTTTGTAAATTTTTTTTATAAATGATGAAATTCATGGTAAAACACGTCCATCATCACGTCTAAATTTATTTTTTATGTACAATAGCCCGCAATTTTTACATAAATCTATGGAGTTGCTAAATAAATAAATAAAAAATTAATAATTTTGTAAAAAATAAATAAAAGATATAAACTTACTTAGATCCCTTTCTCCAATATTTGGATTTGGTGGTATGGCATTGAGAACTATAAAATTTTAATGGTAGATTTAAAATTAGTTAATATAATTTATAAAATAAAATAATTATAATAAAATTTACTTACCAAACTTTATTCACAGGTTTTTCTTCAATTCTTGCTCTTGAAATTTTAACTTTTTTTATAATTTTTTTATTTTTAAACATTTTTTTTTTTTTCTGAATGAATGAATAATAATGAATGAATATTATAACAGATTAACATCATTTTCTTTAAAAAAAAAAAAAAAAAAAAAAAAAAGAAAAAAAAATAAAAATAAATAAAATTTGTTAATGGTAATTGAATGTGTTTTTGTTTCCCAAAAAAGTTTTTATATAAAATTAAATGTAACACACCTACATCATTTACATACTGAACACACAGTTATCCGCTTTTTTTTTTTTTTTTTTTTTTTTAGAAACCCACCCACTATCCAAATTTGATTGTTATTTAATGAAATTAAACACAACGTTGCATCTTTGTCATAATAAAATTTTTTTTATTTCCTTTATAATGTTTAATAAAAAAAAAAAATAATAATAATAATTAAGTTCTATTTTTATATGATTCTATTTTTAACACTTAAGTGGGCTCAATAATATTTTAATGAGACAATTAAAAGAACTCCACACAAATAAATGATAATAAAAACAAATAAATAAATAAATAAATAAATAAATAAAAAAAAGAAAAAAATAAAAAGAAATAATTAAAAACTATAAATAAATGTTATAGATAATTTTAAAATTATATAATTGTCTATAAGTTAAAAATATTTTATTTTTATTATATTATTGCTAATAACCTAAAGGTATATGTTGACTTTATTTGGAGATAATAACTTTTCTGAAAGTATTTTTAATTTTAATCTTTCCCCTATAGCATTTCCTTTGGTAAAAATATCATTTAATTTATTATTCATGAGAACATTTCTTTTGTAATATTTGTAATATTTTGCCCTTGAATTTTTATGATTATATACACCTTTTTTGTTATTATTATTATTGCTATATATTATATTTTCAATTAAAATTTCAATATGTTTTCATCTTGAATACCATTTCTAAGATTATCTTGATAATTTGCGAAATTCATTAAATTGCCATATTAATTTTTATTATTTACATTTTTTATTATGATTGTTTTTGATTATTGTTATAGTTATTTTTAATATTGTAGTTCTTATTATTATTTTTTCAACCATCCATTGATTATATTTAGTTATTAATATATTACATATTCCCTAATAAAAAAAAAATTAAAAAAAAAAAAAAAAAAAAAAAAAAAATATTTCAAATCCTTTATTCTTATAATTTAATATTTAAATTTATCAAGTTCATAAAATATTAATAAATAAATATAAATATATTTATATTTATTTATATATATTTTTTTTTTTTAAATGGCATGTTTTGATCCAACCGCATAATAAAAAAAATTAAAAAAATAATAAAAAAAATAAAAAAAATATTATAATTTTTTTTTACACCACATCAAATTTTATAAAAAATTATAAAATAAAATTTTTTTATTTAATTTTCCACATTAAATTTTATATTTTTATATATATTTATATGTATTTTTAATCTCTGCACCATGAATTGTAATAATAAAAGAAAAAATGGAGATACAACAAATAATAACACAGATAATACTAATAGCAATAATAATAATGATAATTCAATATCAAATATAAAAGTACTGATGGTTCAGAATTTGATAATACAAATACATCAACAAATACACCCAGTTTGGTTTTTACATCAAATGAAGAAAACGATAGCACCAATGAAATTAGATTTTGGAAGGTATTTAGAAATAAATATTTATTCAATGTAATATTTTCAAATTTCAAATTCAACCAGTTATTCAATTATGATGATTTAAACGATTGCCTTCATATTTATAACAAATTTAGTAATGGAGAAACAATTATTAGAGATAAAGCAAAAAGTGGAAAATTATATAATTAGAGATTTTAATGCAGAATTTATCGTTAGTGTATTCACCAAAAATACCCAAGAGAACAGAGAATTCTATAGAACACTATTTTCAAATGGTTTAAGAACATTCAGAAACTATTTTATATGGGTACAAGCATTTTGTGAATCATTCCAATAAAACCGCATTTCTCGAATACCTCAAAAATTTTAAAATAGATAAAACTAGTTTTTTTGTAAGACCAATGAAATCCAGTAAAAACATCTTTAAACAATTAAAGATGGAAGATGCTTTAAAATCAAATGGTTTTCATTTTTTTTAAATCGAAATCAGTATTTGATGTTATTAGGGAATTTCAATTTTCACAAAAATTAAAAAAGCTCATAAATTGTATCCATGAAAATCACCAACCAAAAACAAAACACAATTATATACTAGAACAACTAAATACCCAATTAATAACAATTCTATCTGATAAAATACATTTAAACTCAACTATTCACACAATAGCACCTCACACTCAAAATTATATATTCAATATTTGCTGAAAGATGCCAATCATCTCTTACTAAACCAACTAGTTATCATATATACTTTAGAGACAAGTCTAAAGCCGAAAAATTTTATGCAAAGAGAATAGAATCTTTGAACTTGTCTAATGAACCACTCACAGTTATAAAAAGTGATGAATGCATTGAATTTCAAATGAGCCTAGTTAAATCACTACACACAATTTCTTGTAAAACCAAGGTTGAACAGGCCATTTTTTCAAGCAATAATTTGGAACTAATCTATCTCATGTTTAAGCTTTACAAGGATGACTTATACGGTAATTTTTTTAGATATCTAAAATTTATTACAAAAACCGAGATATTGGACTACATCTTCGATAACCATCAAGAATTAATGTTTAGTGACAATAATCCACTTTGGATATGCACCAACAGCAAAGCTATGGGCCATTTCGAAAATTTAATGAAAAGTATTTCAAGAAAATTTTTAATTAAATCCAATTTAACTATAACAGACTTTGAAAATACTCCAAGTAAAGATTTTTTCGAAGGCTTAGAAAGAGCAGTCGACAATCCAACAGTTTATATATTTGAAAACAATAAAAATTATCCCCAAAACTCTATAAATAGATATAATTCATATTTTATAAAATTGACCAATTTAACACAGGATTCTGCAATATCATTGTTTAGTTTTCTCAATGACAGCTCTTTTAATCAAAACTTTGGTTTGTACGATAAAAGATATTACTGTTTAATAAGATATTCAAATAAAGTAAAAAAAAATTATTATTAAACTAATTGATAATTTTAAATAATATTATATCAAAATTTGTTTTTATTTTTTTGTTTATAAATATTATTATTGTTTTTTATTTTTTTTTTGTTTTTATTTATTTGTATAGAGTTCTTTTAATTGTCTCTTTAAAATTTGATTGAGTTTTAAGTGTTAAAAATAGAACCATATTTATTTTTTATATTTTTTATTTAATTGTGGATATGTATTTTTTATATTTCAGTTCCAAAAATCCCAAATCCCAAATTATTATTTACACAATTTATTTATTATTTATTATTTATAATTAAATTTGAGCGCAACATTACAAACTTCATGGAGGAACACCTATGACATTTACATTTAAATCTAATATGAATTTTCTTTATGGCTTGTACCTTGATTTGAATAACCATTACTTCACATACAACAAGAACCTCTTTCTTTTTTCTTTTCATCAATTTTAACATGAATGAGTTTTGAGAATTTTGACTGCATTTCTTAATAATGTATTTCTAGTGAATATTGTATTTTACCCTGTGGATTTACCACTTTGTTGCATCTACAAATTGTGATTATAATTGTATAAATGTATGTATCTTGGTGAATTAATTGGTTTAGTTGAGTATTTACCAGTGCTTTTATATTTAACTCTTGAATCTTTGAATGTCCTCTTTCTTTTCTTTATATTGGTCTTGAATAAAACATCTTTTTTTACATTACAATCCTATTGCTGTATATTCACTATTTTGAGCATAAAGACAATCACCGATCACATCAAATTTTAATTTTGATTTTCTAACGCCGGTTTTTATAAAGCTAAATAATGAACCAAAGTCGAACTCGAATTCAAACCCAAACTGATTATGAAGAAGATATTATCCATATAGCTTTATCCATACCTCTTTATAAGCATCAACAACCTCTTTACCATTGATATTAATAGTTTACCTGTTATTTTGCCAGTACTCTTACGCTCTGCTATGCGGCTTGGTTGCAAATCCATCATTATTTTTCTAAGCCACAACCAATTGATACTCTACGTTTTTAGATACAAATCCATCATTAATTTTCTTAGATGAACCAACCTCAGGTCTAGATTCAGTAACCGCATTATCAATTATGAAAACACTATTAGACCTTGCTTTTTATATTCACGCAGTAAAACATTGGTCCTCATAAACTTTATATCTTTTAATTGCTTTTGGGATAATGTAGCACCTGAAGGATAATATTCAATATCTTTAGTCCGTTCTGAACGAGACTCTTGATTTTCAATTTCATTTTCATCTTCATCTACTTCATTATCGGTTTCTTCTGGATCTGATTCTAAAACAAAAAACCTTCATCAATATCTAAATCATTATCCCAATAATCATTATTGCTAGTGTCTATAATTGATTTATTTATGTATTTATACTGAACCATTTGATTATTGATTATTTCTGCTAACTTTACTTCACTATCAAAACTGATTGATAGTTTCTCTGGATTGAATACATCAATTTGACAACTAATTAATTTCCTCTTTATAATTTCTTTAAATAACTTGCTAATTGTAATAATTGATCTTTCTATTAACCTTATTATACCTTTGATTTTATTATTGTTATAAAAAAACTTTGTTTTAAAAAAAAAGAAAAAGTAAAAACAACACTAATAAAATATTAATTATTTCAATACACAATTATTTGAGTAAAATTAAAACGATTTCCTCTCAAAATTGGTCACTTGGAGGGGACACAGATGCAACTTTTATATCATAAGATATCGAAATTTTTTTACATGCAATTTTAATGTGTATTTATTTAAAAATTGGTGTGATAAATAATTTAATATGGGCATTAAAAAATTTTATAAAGAAATAATACAAATAAAAATTACAAAAAAACAAAGAGAGGAAATGTGTATCTAGATACATGAAACAAATATTTAAATATTTTAATTTTTTTTATTCATATATTTTTTATATAATAAAGTTCGATGGTAAAAGGGTTTTGAATTTAAAAAAAAAATAAAAAAAATCAAATTTTATAAAAAATTTTAAAAAAAATATATATTTTGAAAAAAATAAAAAAAAATTAACAAACAAATCTAACTTCAAAAATAAATTATTGAATAATAATAAAAAATATAAAATATTAAATATTTGTTTTTATTTTTATTTATTTTTTTTTTCAAAATAGTTTTTTCTTTTAATGCAAAAAAAATATCAAAATATCCACATAAAAAAAAAAAAAAAGGTTTATCACACCAATTTTTAAATAAATACACATAAAAATTGTATGTAAAAAATAAAAATATCTTATCATATAAAAGTGCATAAATAATCCCAAATGTGTATAACTTTCAACTATTAAAGAAATTTAAACTTAGGTTTTTTATATAAAAAATTTAAAATATTTGTTTAGTATCTAGATACGATTTTTTTTATTTGCAATTTTTTTTATATAAAAATATTTATCAGTTGTAAAAAATATCTTACAATAAACGATGATAAATTTAAAAAAAAAAAAAAAAAAATTCAAAATTAATTTTTTTAATTTTTATAGTAAGAAAAATCTATAGATTTTTATTTATGTGTAATATAATAAAAATATTATTGCTTAATAAATTGTGCACTTGGGGGCAAATATGCAACTTTTTATAAGATAAAATTTTTTACATTCAATATTTATGTGTATTTTTTTAAAATGAAAAAAATATTATTAAAAAATAAAAAATAAAAAAAAAATAAATCTAACTTCAAAAAAAATATATATTTAAAAAAATAATAAAAAAAATAATCAGATATATAATAAAAAAATTAAAATATTTGTTTTTATTTTTATTTATTTTTTTTTAAAAAAAGTTATTTCTTTTTTTTTTAAAAAAAAAATAGTATGATTTTACATGGTGTTATAATTTCTTAATAAATTTTTAATACTAAAATTTTTAATTATAAAAGTAAAATATTATGCTCACATTAAAAAAAAAATATGGTTGGTGGGTTGGTGTCCTATTTTTTGAAGAAAAAAATTATTTATCACATCAATTTATAAAAAAAATACATTTTAAATTATTTGCAAAAATCTTATCATATAAAAAGTTCATCAGCGTCCCCTCCAAATGCTCAAAAAAAAGTGTTAAAAAACAGTGAGATTTAAATCACCACCCACTTTTTAAAAAAAAAAAAAAAAATTACAAAAAAAAACAAAATGAAAATCATTTTTCTTTTACCCACATAATTTTTTTTTTATAATAAGATATTTTTGCTTTTTTTTTTTAAAATAAAATTATTTAAAAAAAAATATTTTTATTTATTTTTATTTATTTTTTTTTAATAAAATTGAAAAAAAAAAAAAATGAAAAAAAAAATGAAAAAGAAATTTTTTTTTTTTTTTTTTTCGTTTCTTAATTTTTTTTTCTCGAAACACCCCCTTGAATTTTTAATTGAAGAGAAAGAGATGCACTCCAAACTTTATGAAAATTTAGAAAACGACAAGCTAAATATATTAGAAGATTATGGTTATGTTCGTGGCATTGAATATGAAGAAGAAGAATTTTATTCATTAGATGATGAAAATACTAGTGGTCAGACAAAATTCAATTTTGAAACTGGGATGAAAGACGTCGATAAGCTACAACATATCTCTCAAATTTATTATTTTAGAAGAGTACTCACAATTCGTCAAAGCTCTTGTTATCGTTCAGAACCACGTGCCAGTGATACTTTCTTTAATACATATGTACCCATGCAGGTTGTCAACAAGTATTCGTCCAACAGAAAACTTTTATCAAGCACATTGGTTTAGATCACACCTTGATTGTTCCAACTGAAGAACAAAAAGTAGAATTGGTTAAAGCTCAAGGTTTTGAATTTGCAAAAGATTTTCATAAATTAAATGTTAAATCAAAAGTGAAAGGTTCTCCAGCAATATTATTTTTAGATACTGAAACTACAGGCCTCTCCGTAGCAACTGATGAAATCATTGAAATCTGTATATGATGGTAGCCACTTTTATAAACTCATCAATCCAACAACAACCGTTTCAAGTGCTTCTGCATCAATCCATGGTCATACAAATAAAAGTTTAGCAGGTAATGAGTATTGGTGTGATATGAACCATCGCTTATTGAATATCTTTCAAAATATCAAGAATCAGGTGCTTACATCATTGCTCATAATGAAAAGTTTGATAGAGGAATTTTAGCAAGTCAAATTGGTAAAACTGCTGCTTCTGCTCCATCCATGTTTCCTTCAATAGTGTTTGTTGATTCAATTCCAATTTTTAAAAGGTTGCTTAAAAAATGTGAAGGTGGTTATTCAATGAGTTCACTCATAGACCATTAACAAATTCCAAAATCAGATAAAAGCCATTCCAGTTGCCAAGATGCTTTAGATCTTATTTTATTATTAAAAGGATTCAAAAAGAATTTAGAGAAGAATGTTGAAGGTAAAATGAAGAAAGCGGAATATGTTAAAGTTATCTCAGATTATTTAAAAGATAATAGATCCCAAGTTACAACTGTGGTTACCAAACTAAAAGAAGATAATCGAATAG